TCATGTTCAGCTTAACTATGTGATAGTTGTCCCAGATATTTTTGTGGTAGTACAAAAACAATTACTTTAAATAAGTCTATTTTTTTGTTGATCCTGTTAGCAGTATTTTGCATGGAGCACTGGAGGAGCCTATGAAGTTCTGACTACACTATGTGGACTGCAGGAAGATGCTGGGCAGCCCTGTTGTTTTTGTTCTTCCAAGTTCCAACCAAGGTGGTGTTATGTGGATTGGTTAGCACTTGAGCAGAGATAATAGGCAAGCAATACAACTAGAATTCTGTCTTGTCTTATGCATGCCTTTTTGCACGATCTGTCTGCGCTCGAATGCCTCGTCCATAAAGAACATAGACAAAGAAAGAAACTAAAATGAAACGACAGGTGTATGTGCAGACACTCCTATAAGAAAAATAAATATGGATCCTAAAAATTCACTCAAAATCTATAATACACCATGTTATAGTTCTTCGGTGCAGACTTAAATATTTGTTTTCTTTGTTTCGGAGGACTTGCATGAGAACGAACCTAATGTCCTCGAATCCGCCGAAGCAAAAGAGGGCGGTTCCGATGAGGTGAGATGCGGATCCGTGGGCGGCGCTCGGAAATACCTACAAAACGAGCACGCATTAGTCGATCCGGAGGGGGGACGACGCGTCCTTGGAGCCAAAGGGGAAGGGACGACGGAGGCGGCAGATCCGGAGGGGGGGGGAGACGGTGGCCTCAGATCCGGAGGGGGTATGACGGAGGCGGTAGATCCGGAGGAGGAGAATACAGCGCCACCTCGGAACCGGAGGGGGGAGGACGGCGGTGTCGGATCCGGGGTACCTTGTTGCAGTGGGCGAGGCGTCGACAGCCGGCGAAGTTCTGGGAGGGATGCGGACCTCACGTTAAATCATGCGAAGGCTGTCGACGGCGAGGGGGCCACCCACAGCGGAGAGAGGCGGGGAGGATGGAGGCGTTGGCATGTGAGGCGGGCACGACGGCGGCGCTGACGACGCCCGGCAAGGCGCCAAAAGGAAAGAGGAGGAGCGAGCAAGCGCAAACCCTAGCCACGCGACGGGTAAGGGACTGAAGGAGGGGAGCTGAACACGGCGTGGATGGTAGGCTTCTAGGTCAGCCGTTCAGCTGGACTGGGCCACCGAATGGCTTGGCTGATCAGCCAGCCACCAAGCCGTTTCATACGAGTTACTGCACTCCTCCGTCTAGAGTGTTATTTTTTAGTTTAACTAGATCGGTAAAATATATTAGTAATATTTATATCTCTAAATAAATTTATTATGAAAATAAATTTTATGATTTATCTAATAATACTAATTATGCATCATAAATACTAATATTTTTATATATATGTTTAGTCGAAGCTATAAATGCTTGACTTCTCATGAAATAAGAATGACTCTGTGTGCCGGAGGGAGGGAATATTTCTCAATCAAAAGAATGAAAAGAGTACTTAACCCGCTCAACTGTGTACTTGATGGTTTTTGCGGCTGATAAGTCGGCTGATGCTGTTTTGTTGTGAAAGAAAAATATTGTGTCATGGCTGATAAGCCGAGCTGATAAGTTCAAGCGAACAGGCAAGTATTTTGCACCTTAAAATGTTCAAAACCGTCTAAATAACCTCTTGATGCGGCTTTGAAGGTGGATTCACTAAAGTGATATATTTAAAAATCTAGATAACCCCTTAACTTATCAACGGTTGACTAGTAAACCATAAACTATAAAATGTGATATTATAGGACGTTTGGACAACATTTCCCGCCATAATGGTCTAAGTACTCATGCTTGCACGTAGACCCATTTGATGCTCCACCTCCCTAGTCTTTTTTAGGCTAACCCACCGCCCAGCGAGCAGCACGTGACATCTTGTCTCTTTTTCCACCTCTCGGCACTCATCGACGGCACTAAGCTCAAGTACCATGCTTGCATCCTCATCATCTAGCCCCCTCCTACATCCTCCATTTGACCCTCCTTCAGTTCTTTAGGTAGCCATAGGAGGAGAAAGTGAGAGCAGAGACAAGGATGTGGGAGAGGCTGGATGACAACGCAACACACACGCAATGCATGTGCTAAATGTCATTGAAGAATGCCATGAGGTGGAGCAGGCTCATCAAAACGGTGGTGGAAGCCTAAAAGAGGGCCTATGTGCAAGCATGGGTGCTTAGACCAAAGGTGGTGGGATACTATGTCCAAATGGCCCTACAAAATCATCTTGGGGGTTATTTGAACATTATTAGATGCTTTAAGGCTACAATATCAGTTTTATAGTTGGAGGAGTTATATAGTCGGTCTTGATATGTTATGGGGATATTTAGACTTTTTATAAAGCCACGTCAAAAAACCACCTTCAAAACTTTCTTAGTGGGTTATTTAGACGATTTTTAATAGTTTAGGGATAAAATTTGATAAGATTTGTATCTACAAACAGTGGCCAGTCCAGAAATAGTACAATTCTAGGTTTTAAATTAGTCAAATTTTCTTCAATTTGGTCAACTTTATAGAAAATAGTATCACCGTTTATATCTACCAAACAACGGTGAATCTAGAAATGAATCAACAGAGACCCTAAATAATAGAATGCTAGAAATTTTACTAGTCATACATTAAATAATATATAATAAACAACAAATGACGATATCACTTCAACAAGCAATATATAGAACATTGAGGATAGAAAAATACCAACTAAAAAACATCTGATAACCGAAAGATCATACTCCCTTTGTCCCATAAAGGATGTAACAATGGGATTTGTGCAAGTCACTATGGTGGATTGTGCCCATGTGTGGATGAGTGATGAGTGTAAGTGATGAATCGAGCTTTAGTTTAGCGTTGAGACTAAACATATATAGCGTGAGTAGTGGTGTATGCAACATGTCTATTGCCTTGTGTTGTGCAGGTGTTGAGCATTGGGATGGTCAACGCAAAGATGGAGAAGGTCAAGTGAGTTCATGTTGATAAACTAGGAGCGGTGAAGGATGGACATGGAGGCTTAGATCGAGGAACCGAGGGCCAGAGGATGGACCATGGACTGCTAACACTTGGCAACGTCGACAAGCAAGTGTACATGCAAAGACGTAGTAGACGGTGTTGATTGAAGTCAAGATGGTGGTTGACCAAGTCAAGGTGGGTGTGCGAGGACTTGGTGATTGAGCGGTCGAGGACGAGTGGTGACACGCGTCGAGATCATTGAGGAGGCGTAGCGGATACGCGACTCCAGTAGCTGGGTTTGATAGTTTCGGCCCCAAAACCGCGAGTGGCGGATACAAGATCAAGAAAATATGCATTGTCGCACTTCTTCTTTACGAGACTGCATATCATTGCACTTTGATATGAACTTGGAACAAGTTGTATATGAACGAAATCTTGTTCTTAAGCTTATGACTATTAAAAAGTGGCGTAGGCTTAACTTGGTTGAAAAGTAAGACTGACAAGGCATATAATTTCTTGCAATTTATATTTTATTGCTATAATGTATAATCGATATAACAGTTTTTCAAGCGCCAATAAAGTGCACAAAAAATTTAATGTTTTCAAGTATTAAGGCAGCTAAGAAAGAGAGACCATACCATGTAATAAAACTACTAATAGGATTTGAACTTTTGTTTCTGCTTAAAGTACATTGTATATGTATGGATACGAGGTCCAACTATTTTCTAGAATGGCTTGTATGAGAATATGCTCGTATATGAATTATCTATGATGCTCATTTAAAGAAACATAAAAAACTCAAAGCTAGAAATTTGCATATCTCATCAAGAGGTATAACTTTCATGCACAAAGTATCTTTATCCGACATCATACAAGAGAGAGATGATTTTCTAAGGCGACAAGAGCCGGTACACGATTAATATGCTTCTAAAACTTTATATTATTTTTTGAGCATCTTAACGACTTCAAATGACAAACACATAAAAGAAGAATTTGTAGATCTTGTTGTGAACTATAATTTCTATATACAAAGCATCTTTATCCGACACCATACAAGAAGATATGATTTTCTTGGACGACAAGCCTTGGTACGTGATTAATATACTACTGAAACTTTATTTTTTTAGCATCTTAATTATCTCAAATAAAATCTAAAAACTAGAATGTTGTAGATGTCATCGAGAGCTACAATTTTCATATAAAAATCATCTTTGCCCTAGGTCATATAGAAAAAAGGTATGATTTTTTTAAGGTGGAGCTTTGTCGCTGACATGTGGATTTTATCTATCTGATCCATGTAAGCGTTGAATTGACATGTCATGTAAGATAGCGGGTCAGGTAAACGCCTGTTTAGATCTAAATGAGACCTATTATAACTTCATACAGCGCATTTTAGGACTTTGAAGACCTAGATAATACCTCAAGACAATGTTGAGAACCGCGGATGAATTTTTGTCTGTTTGAATGTGTTGGGCGCTATATGCCTATAGAGAGAGAGAAAGCAGGGCAGAGACATGACCAGTGCTGCTGCCTCTAGAACCCCATATATCCATAAGAAAACAATAAGATAAAAAACAAAATCCAATTTATTTTTAGAATGTTTAGCAACTCTTTCTAATCTAGCATCTTCATTCTAGCTTTTTCTGGCTCCACTGCTAAGAGTTTTTTTTTTGGTACTCCCTCCATTGTAAATTTTTAGTCGTTCTGACTTTTGGATACACAAAACTTTTGTTATGCAACGTTGCAAGTAATGTGATCGAAATCACGAGTCACGATACAACCTCTGGGGCGACTAAAAGGGCTAGTTCATAGATTTTTTGTTCGGGACGTGCTTTTTGAAATATTGGTTTTTCTGCTAAAATTTAAAAAAAATCTGAATATGGTGGGCTCCGTCCCACCCGTCAGTGATAAAGAAAAGTTACGGTGAGGTTGGCTAGAGAGAAGATTAAGCACTAAACATGATACCAATCAGGGTAAATACAGCTCACGTTGACGAACAAGAAAATTACAGTTGACGGCAGTACGTAGGTGCGTGTAAATGTAAAGGGCAACACAACTCCAACTAGATGTTTTCCTCAGGGATTCCCCGGGCGGCGGTTCTTGGAAGCGGAGGCCGGCGGTACGCCAGGAAACCCCGGAGGGAGAAGCGGCACCGGCACGGGGGGAAGAAGCTTCGGCGGCGGCGGCGGGTTAACCAACGGCGGCAACAACGGTGGTATTATCGACGACGGCGGTGGCTGTGGGACAAGCGGTGGCAGGACGGACGGCGGAGGCGGGGCAGGCAGGAGCGGCGGCACGAGAGACGGCGGGGCCGGCGTGACCGGGTTCGGCGGGATGGGCACGCCGCCGATGTTCGGTGGCTCCGGTACGAGCGGGAGCGGCGGGAAGAACAGGCCCTTCTGGCTGCAGAGCTCCGGACGGACGGCGAACGCGCCGGCGGAGAAGACGCGAGCGCCGCCGCCGCCGCCGTGGTGGTGGTGGTGCTTGTGGTGGGCGATGAGATGGAGCCCGCGAGCGGAGCTGGTGGCGGTGGCGACGCATGGCGGCGCCTGAGGGAGGTGCACCGCCACCGAGCAGGACGTGATGGACCGGAGCTTCTGGTTGCTGCTGCTGGGCTCGTGCTGCGCGAGGTGGACGTGGAATTTGCCGCTCCGGTCGGTGACGACGTCCTTCCGGATGACCGGCCGGCCGTTCCCGTCGTGGCAGCGGACTCCGACCAGGGTGCCTGCTTGAAGCCGTAGGCCCGTACTACGTGTTAGAGAAGCAGGCAGGCAGGCAGGCTTAAGCCTCAAACATTGTCATACGGTGAAAGCAGGTTGCATGCGCACCTGAAACGGCGGTGGCAGCCTCGGAGCTGCTGGAGTGGACGATGACAACGGAGCCGACGACGGTAGCGGTGGCGGGGGCAGTTAGTACTGGGCGAGCGTGCTTCCGGCCATGGTGGTGGTGGGTGGCGGAGTAGCAGTGGAAGCAAGAGAGCTGCACCAAAACAAGGAGGAGCAACCAAGAAGTGCTGTTCATTGCAGCGGTGCTAGCTGTGGTACCTAATAGCTATCTTCTCGTGCAATGCACTAGGAGGCGCGCCGTTGTATTGTATTTATGCATGACGCAGTAGAGGAGATGTCGATTTCTTGTGTAAATGGACGTAGGCGAAGAAGACACGTTGTCGTCGTCGGATTTCGTTGGAAACAAATGCGCGCGCGGCGAATAATGCAGGAATGGCCTTTGTTCGTTCGGCAACTTGAAAGGAATTTACGCAGGTAATATAGTCGTAGTAGTATAGATAAGTAAATCCACACGCCGCACAATGAATAATTAGCTGATATGCAACTTTTAATGCCCGGTAGTACCTTCTGAACTCACCTCACAAAAAAAATGCTCGTTGAAACATAATGAATTTCGTATTGTCATATGTCGAACTATTTTAATTAAGTTCACCTAAATTTAAAGAAGAGGGTATTAGCATTTATGATATGAAATAGATAAATTATATAAAAAATTGCATCTTATCATGTTCATTTGTAATATCGTAAAAGTCTACCCCACAATCAAGTGTTTTAAGCGGTTCAACGCTCGATTATTTCCAGCCGTAGGATGAAGCCGCCCCGTCCGCCTGCCTCGTCTCCGGTGGCTCCCTACCATCGGATCCGCCTCTACCCCACCGTCGCGCTAATCCAGCTTTGCTAGGGCATCACCGTGACTCCCCCGCCCGTTCCCTGCCCAACTGCCTTCCTCCACCGCCCGACCAACGGCGCGACTGCTCCGCTACCCCCGCGCCTGCCACCACCGTCGATCTGGCCTTCCTCCTAAGTTTTTCTTCTAAGCCTGTCGGAGTTGGAGAAGGAAGGCCACTCAATCTCAAACCCTAACCAAGCTAATCGCAGGGCAAGAGCTTGAATCGGGACGTCCATAAAATCGAGTGTTGGATTGCTCCAAAATAACCGAGTATTGTTTAGCATTTCTCAAAAATTACCATTGTTTCTATAAAATATTGTGAGAGTTATGATGATTGGACTTAAGATAACTTATATTAAAGCTCGCTGTATTTTGCTTGTGAATGGTGCAGTTTTAATAATGTCTCACCTCTTACAAGGAGAATGGTAACGTTGTAGGCTAGTATGAACGCCGCAATAGAACGCATGGCCTCAACGTAGCCACCTTGCGTCGTCCTTGATACTGCCAAAGACACGCGTAGACTAATGGGACGACGGTCCGACGGAGATGTTTTCTGGGAGGTTCTGAGCCTTGTTTATCTCTGCCTCTGCATTCTGCGGCCTATATCGTTTCATGCCCTGGTTTCTGGCGTTTTCTGCCCTCGCGTTCACGGGCTCTTGTTGCAACGTACTATCACTATCCTCGATAGGACTATAGCTCTATAGCAGTCGGCAGGGAAAATTTCTCTTTTTTGACAAAAGAGGAGTCGGCAGGGAAATGCTCATATACATATATTATATATATATATATAGAGAGAGAGAGAGACACTTTTTTTTGGATCGACGCCCTGACCTGGTCCATCATACGTATAAGTATAACAACAGAGTTCATATCACATCGTTAACACAATTATTCCAGTTATGCGAGCGAGATCGAGCGATGCTCGCTTCTTCTATGTAAACAGATTAACAGACAATCCGACATCACACGTTACACGTATGGTGGCTCCTTTAGATCATTATCTTTTTAATCTATTTTCACAACTTGTTCTAAAAAATATGCAAAAGTATAGATGCTCAAATGGATGGCCCGGCCCGAGCCCATTGAGGCACGACCCGATAAGAGTTGAGCCGTCATGGCCCTGTAAGCAAATTGTGTTGTCATGCATGTCCACGGGCTCTGCCTTCGTCCCAAGCACCGCTCGCCCGATGAGCCTGCCGAGCTGGAGTTGTGCCTCGGTCGCACTGGCGGGCCTGTATCGAAAGCACCGTTGGAGGAGAGAATTAGGGAGAAGGGAGAGGTCGTGGCAAGGGCTCCTATAGTTGCTCGATTACTTAGACAAGAAGCATCAGGGGACGCGAGCTCCTTGCTAGTTGGGGGAGCATTAGGCAGCGTTGGAATGGGATGTGGGAGGGGAGAGGGTCGGGGGAGCCGACGTGTGGGATCAGGGGAGGGGAGAAGAGCGGGGTTGGGGAAGGGAAGAGGAGTCTGGGAGCCAATGTAGGAGTGGGGGAGGGGAAGGGGAGAGGAGCGGGGAGCTAACGCGGATCGGGGTCTCGGGAGGGAGAAAGAGTAGGGAGGCGATGCATCATCGGTGATAAATGGGCGGCGGTGGAGTGCGCGAAGAATCACGCCGAGGCGATTGAGAGAAGGGAGCTAGGATTTGGAATGTGCGATTATGTATTGGCGGGCCATATCGGTCTGGCCATGTCGTGTTATGCACAGGCTAGTACCGTGATTGATGTATGTGGCTCATGCATGGCCCACCGATCGAGTTGGGCCGACGCGGTCCCGACGGCCATCGGGCCATGGGTCGTGCCCATAGGCCTCGAGCCTTATGGCCGCAAAAGAGCCTATAGGCAGATTAAGCCCTGATCGTTTCGTTGAAATTTGGCTTATGTTGATTTGCTGTGAGAGGAAAATAATGTTTGTTCGTTGAAAAATAATGTTGAAGTAATGCTGAAGAATATGGCGTAAAGTGTTTTAGTATCATCTTCAGGTTCTGGGTTCGGCACTTTGGCAATCTTCTCTACCATTAAAGCTGAGCCAAACCATGTCATGGAGGAGGTAAAGTCTACAAGTTGATTGATTTTTTCTTCCAAAAATTGTAAGCCAAGTCAATTTTTCTTAAAAAAAAACAGGCTGGACAAGTTCAACAAAGTTGGGCCAGGTTCCAAGCCTGGCCCAAATCAGCCCGTGCACGTGCAGCCCATCATAGTCCCTGATTGCACGATCAGGACCAAAATCTTGTCGGGAAGCAGGTGTCGCAAACCACACGTTCCACAGTCCTCACACAACACGACCGCCACCCACGAGTAGCCATGCTCCAGCTCGCCCCCACCCCGCGGCCGTCGCCGGCGGCCGCTGCCCGGCGTAGGCGCCGACCCTCCACCTCCGCATGCATCTGCTGCTCGAGCGTGCACAAGCTGGAGAGGTCCCCGAGCCCGCGCCCGCGCCCGGGCGCGTCGCTGCGGGAGGCCAAGCGGGTGGTGCTGGTGCGGCACGGGCAGAGCACGTGGAACGCGGAGGGCCGCATCCAGGGGAGCTCCGACCTCTCCGTGCTCACGCCCAAGGGGGAGTCCCAGGCCGAGACCTCCCGCCAGATGCTCCTCTCCGACTCCTTCGACGCCTGCTTCACCAGCCCGCTGGCGCGCTCCCGCCGCACCGCCGAGATCATCTGGCAGGGGCGTGACGATGATCTCATCCCGGATTCCGACCTCCGCGAGATCGATCTCTACTCTTTTCAGGTTTCCATTTTTACTCTCTCTTTTGCTCCCCCGTTACTGTGTATTCTGTGCAGTGCTAGCAGGGTGCTTTTGGGAATGCCTGCCCAATTCTGTCCGCTCGTTAATTCCTTGATGGATGCTTGCCAGGTGCTTGTGGAAATGCCTTAAAGTAACGCGCTGGCGATTCTGGTTTCCAGGGACTGCTGAAGCATGAAGGGAAGGAGAGGTACGGGGTTCTCTACCGGCAGTGGCAAAAGAATGCAGCCAACTTCAGCATTGACGGCCACTACCCGGTGCAGGAGCTGTGGGGCCGTGCACAGAGCTGCTGGGAGAGGATTTTAGCACACCAGGGCAAGTCGGTGCTTGTGGTTGCGCACAATGCAGTGAATCAGGCACTTGTTGCCACTTCTTTGGGTGGGTACTCCTACATTTGAGCGTGGATCGGAGTTTGTTATGTCAAGTGTGATTGAAACTGATTTGTGCTTACCTCACGATTATGTTTAGGACTTGGAGCAGAGTACTTTCGGATTTTGCTCCAGAGCAATTGCGGCGCCAGTGTGCTGGACTTCACCCCACAGACAAGTGGAGGCCCTCCTAGTGTTTGTCTTAACCGTCTAAATCAGGTGAGGGTAACTTTGTTCTCATCACTGTATATGTGAGATATTCTTAGCAACGCTAACAGAACATGTAAGGAGTAAGGACTATAGTACAAGAACCATTTACATGATTCTATTATTAATTTTTCGTTCAAAAGATAATATTCTTGTAAGGAGCGACATGTACTATTTACCAGTTCTGTTAGCATTTCCACTTCAGTATCAACTTAGAGATCAAAGAAATTCACAAGACAATACAGGAAAACGGAAGGGTCAAACAATTAAAACGTGGATTAATCCTGTCCCCAATTGTATGTACAGACCCCAAATTCTCCTGTTGCTGGGGGAGTTCTATGGAAAGAAAGACAAGCAAGAGGATCATTCTGGCGTGTCAAGGGGCTACACAAAGCAGTTCTGAGGTATGGGGTTTTACTTGTTCATTCTTGTGTTCTGTCATGAGGAAGCACTGACTCTTTGTTTGGCATACCATATTGTAATTCCTGAAATTGCCTTCAGAAAGTTGTGCACACTGGTCCAACTTGGTCTTAATTGGCATGAAACTAAGAAACCATGCATCCCTATTCCCTAATCTACGCCATTAATTGTTCATTGCTTTGGTTTCCAGATTAGTTTAGGTGGAATGGGATATGCGCCGCTGAACATGCTTGGGACTATACAGGTACTTTGTTTTGTTTCTTGCATCATAATTTGTTTCCAACACAGAAGTTGAGCTCATTTCTGTACAAATACTTTCAGTCTCAGAAGACTGCAGAACTACTTCTGGATTTGAAGGTCAACAGCATTATCTGTAGCCCGCAAGTTGCAGCTGTTGATACTGCAACTGTTATATGTGAGGTGACCGCAATCTGAATTAAACATGAAGTTCTTTAAATTGTGTTCCTTTTTCCTTATGCTTATTTTCGGCCTGCTTTATCTGATCCTATGGAGTCAATTGCAGGTCCAAGAGGCTGCAGATTGCTTAGGTGCTGATTGTGTGCCTCACACGTAGAAATGAAGAAGTTGATAGAACTTGAAATTGAAGATGCCTTTCAAGCAAAGCAGAAGGTTAAACCGTTGCCAATTCCTATGATTTCTGCTTAGTGTCACTTATTTTTAGTAGCGACTAGATTATACGAAGATAACACTGTCCTTAAACTTGCATTTACATCTCCATGAACTCTCCTATGTATAAAATGAGCCTGTCCTACGGAAATTTTTAACAACATTTTATTCATTTGATGAGTAATCGACAACTCTTTGTTTTTGTTCTTCAGAGCTTTGGGGAAATAGTTCAGTCTGGTTGGGTGGGCGGCATGGAATACAAATTACTGGAGCGACTATGGGCTCAGTCCAAGGATGCATGGAAGGCACTGTTAAATGAATTAGCAGATGATACATCAGAACGTGTTCTTGTGGCCGTCGGTCATCCTGCCATTCACCTAGCTCTAATCTGCCGGTGTCTTGATTTGCCAATGGAGTACATGTCATCTTTTCACCTGGATGATGGCAGCATCAGTGTGATCGATTTCCCAGATGGGCCGAAAGGAAGAGGCATCATCAGATGCACAAACTACACAGCCCATCTGGGAAGATGGTCAATACCCATTACAAGGCCAACGGGAAATGATGGAGAATTCTAACATGGTAATTAACCTCTGTATAGCAGCATCCTTCAGAAACACATCTCATGAGTAAATAAATACCTCATACTGATGTACATATAATCTTGATCTCAATATGACAATATTTATGTACATAAAAAGTATATTATCCATTTGTTCAGTTGGAAAAGCAAAAGAACTCCATGTCCTGCTGCGCGCTCTGCACCCTGTGGAGGTGCAGATTTAGCTATGCACAGGGAGTCTGAAGATACTGACGGTTGGGTCACCAGGCAAATGATGAATACAGTGTATCTATTCGCATAATGTCAAGTGGTTATCAGTTGAAGAGAGTGCGATGGATTCGTGGGACAAGAAGAAATGCTGACAAAGGCTGCTGCCAAGATCTGCATGGCGGAAGGTTCACAGGTTGAGCATGAGCATGCCACATGTCCTTTCTGCTGCCACGTGTAGCCCTTCGTCCTCCAGCAGCACTGCACTCTACAGGCTACTGCAACACCTCGAGCCGTCGCCTAATATGCTCCATTCCATATGGTGCTACAGCTGTAAGCCTCTAATGGAGTACTCAACGCCGCACCAGGTGTCCAGGTACCAGCAGCACGGTTACTCCGGCGACGGCACTACACGGGCCGGCCAAGAAGCACAGCCGGCGGTGAGTCCGACGACGCCCTCCTCTTCCTTGCCGTGCCGGCAGGCTGGCTCATCCGGCTGCTCGCCTTCCTCGGGGAGCTCGTCGCGTCTGCCATCCTCAGCCTCGTCTTCCCCGTCGCCGCTCTCGTCGGCGTGCTGCGCGCCCTCCCCTGCAGCGGTCGCGTCCAGCCTCCGGCGCGCGGCGCGAGGCCTGCTCGCCGCGGCGTGCACCTTCGCTGCACTTGTGGCCGCGCGCTGCTCGTGTCCGTGCTCCTCGGCTTCCTTCTTGTCCGGCACTGGGTCGAGGACCCGGTCACCGTGCGCCAGCAGCTCTTCTTCGACTACACGGAGGCGCAGCCCAGCGCCGCGGTGGTCCTTGACGGAGCTCGAGGCGCCGGCGCCGGCGCCGTTTTGCCGGCGGGTCACTCCGTCAGGGTGTCCATGGCATTGCTGTTTCCTGATTCCTACCACAACCGTGAAGTTGGCATGTTCCAGGTACATGCACATGCTTGTTACCAAATCTCCGATCCGGTAAACTCGTTTGCTGATGTGTGCATCGCACGGTGAACTCGTCTTGTTCTGCAGATAAAAGCAGAGGCGGTCTCTGTAAGTGGAATCACCATGGCATCGGCTACACAGCCATACATGCTGAGGTACAAGAGCACTCCTGTCCGGCTGGCGCAGTCTGCGCTGCTGTGCGTGCTACTCACTCTCGGCATACGCAGCGAGACCCAGGCCGCAAGTCTCAAGGTGTTGCAGTACAGAGAAGGCCATGGCCGGCATAGGAGAACAGGGGTCATCAGAGTCTTGCTGCAGCCAAGAGCTGCGACGGTGCAGCTGCCCCAGGTGTACAGAGCAGAGGTTGTTGTGCAGACTGCTCTTCCGTGGGCAAAGAGCCTGGCACGTGGCATGAAGTGGACACTCTGCGTGTGGGTGTCTTCGTCTGTGTACATTGCTCTCATTGTTCTTGCTGTTTGTTGGGCCCGGCCTCTCGTGGTGTCCGCGAGGAATAGGAGGCTGTCTGAGATTCAGGCCGATGGAAAGATGGCTTCTGGTTTGGGTTCAGAAGATATTGGTGAAAGCTCAAGCAAGGAGGTGTCTGAAGATTTTGCAGTGAAGTGGAGAGAGAGAAGAAGCAAGCGGAAAGCACAGTTTCGAACGCTATTACATCGAGGCACCATGGAGCTTGAGTCCACTGAAGGTTCAACTTCTAGTGTTGCAGTGGTGGAGACTGGTGAGGCAAATGATGATCCTTGAGAATCTGATTGTATACAATCATCAGTATCTGATGATATCAACTAATTTTAATCGAGGGTGTTGCTGTGAAATTTGTGTTTGTTGTTACCACTACCTCTGTGTGTACTGTAGATGTGACTCAAAGGCTTCTATACTACCCTACATTTCAGACCAACACATAGAATAACAAAAACATACATGGATGAATGAAAACTGCATGAACTTCATGGAAGATGGAACCTTGTCTCCTTGCTCATGTGGCTCCAACACTTTAGTTGTTTGGGCGACCTATATTTTCATGGTTGCAGAAGCTGCACACAGGAACAAGTTTCTACTTCTACGTGTCAGTATTTTGTAAGTTAAATCACTCTCTCAGTAATCTGCACATTTTTTTCCACTCTCTGGACAAGTTATCTGGTTCAAATCATTTGCTTTCCTGCAAATAGGTTATCATATCTGTTCTTTTGTTGGGTAGGATGTAGGCACAAAAAGACATCAGATTTGTTGGATAGGTCCTACTTATTACAGGTGCTGAAAATTGTATAAGTTGGGACCATTGTGTGCTCTAGGAGACTGAGCTATTAGATAAACTCCATAGGTCCTATACTTTGTACTGATCTACAGCTATTGAAAACTTTCTAAGATAGGGTCCTTGTGTGCCACAGGCAACTGATCTGTAATCCTTTGTATGTACGCCAATACTTTGTGGGAACAATGTAGGGACAGAATAATACATTGAGCACTGTACAATCATGTTACCGTAAAAGGATTGCTAAGCTTAGGACCAAGTGGGCTCATGATTTATGATTTAGTGGAGACTTCTCATGCTGATCAGAAGATTGTTTCAACTTACAGAGGTAGGGAAGCTCATCATTTCCAGTTGGGAGCTAGTACCTGTTACTTCCTAGTGAGAGCATAGCACTTCTATTTGGATATCTGAATTTGCATGCATGTTGATTTTTCTCTACCTTTTCGTTTGGTAAGACTAAAGAAGTCTATGTACCATCTCCTCAACTGCCTTGCTGCTGTCAGTTAGGACTTAGGAGTAATATATCTTCTCCCCCACCCAATAGTAGGTTGATGATAGAGTGGCCTCTTTTGTCAATCTATGCATTTATAAACCATTTATTGTCAAATTTTTCTAGTTCAACAGGAACAAAGAAAGGAAATATGCCTCATGTACATAGTTCATCCTGCCATTCTATCATACACATATAGTTGAAATGCAGCATAATATTTGTTTCTCACACTATTAACAAAAAAGAATTGTGCCTACTAACTGGATTACATTACGCGGTCCCTACCCTTATGCAAGAAGATCCACATTATCTGAGTTGCCATAAGAAGGAAGAAACTAATTCGAAGCATTCCATTTATTTCTGTTTCTGCCTGTTGTTAAAACCTAAAAGGTTACAGAATGGTTATCAATTGTTCTCACAGATCCTGCCTTATGTTTTGAGGTGCATCTCATTTAGCCACTCTGCCCTACCAACATTTCTGGAATCTGAAAACAAAGTCAACGGACCATGCACTGAATTTATAATGATTTGGGATCAGTGACTGGTTTAGCCAATGCATGTATCACATTTTCATATCTGCACTTTGCTCCATAATTCAATTTAGTGTATGTTGATTTGTTAAACTATATTTGACATTCTCATTTCTCAGATCTGATTGGCTTATGATTCATGAACCAATGGACCAGGACCTTGTGCAGACTGCAGATCCTGCATCAGCAGTAGGTGAGTCCCAGCATACTCTCGGCCTGTTCGCTGGTTGGTTTCTGGGCTGATAAGCCCGGCTGGTGCTGGTTTGTTGTGAGAGGAAAACACTGTTGGCTGGCTGATAAGCCCTGTCTGGTAATAAATATGATGGACCGGCAAGAAGGGGGCAAAATTATGAGATTAAGGTTGCATTCCATGTGAATTTTTTATTCGCCATATAGTTTTTGGACGTTGCAATTTAAGAGCTGTTAGTTGGTACTCTAAGCCTATGAACAAAAAATGGAGACACTAGCCATGTGACAGGGGAGCAACCTTTTGCTTCGTTTAGAATCCGTCATTAGTCAATCTCGCAATCATTGGGAGGTGAATCCATTTGCTTTCGTACTGAATTCTGTATAGGTAATAAAGTCACAAATTTTCCACTGCGTTCCATTGGAGTGTGAGATCTCGGTAGTCGTTGGCACTGGCGTGTGCCCGACCGTACTATGTTTTTTTGCTCATCATACATTTCACACGTCAGGGGACCATGAGCATGATTCTCTGATCCCTCCACACATTGTTTATCCAGTTGTCAGTCTGAACCAACACTTAACCCTTTGTTTTTTGGAAGAAGCCTATTTTTTGCCATCAAACTCTAAAACCAGATATCTCAGGCCATTGAACTATCGAAATCAGGCACTTCGACCCTCGGCTGCTTTTAAAGGTGGTTTTGCCTATATTATGTATTTTTCTAAAACTAATAAAACTATGATTAAATCTCTAAAAAGACCATAAATAATTCATTTGAAATCATAAAAAACCTGCTGCCCCCTTATCCGTACTTCATCCATCCATGTCATCATACCTCGTATAGCAGGTTCTGAAAATTGTTGAAGATCAGGAGACCTGGTTCTTTACACAACGAATTTGAAGTTCTAAAGCATTCGAGTTAGTATTAGTTGCAGCAAATCTAGTTTTGCCGGTCTTGATTCAACTGAATTAAGTTTTATATACAAGGTAGGACGGGATCATGTGCTGGAATGGTTCTTCATTGCCTCGCTGCTGCCTGCTAAACTAGGACCAACTGGCTCTTGAGTGAACCTTGATGGAGTGGAAGCTTCCTCCCATGCTGATCAAGATCTACAGTGCTCCAACAACCAGCAGGTAAGCACGAGGAGCCATTCTGACTGGAGCATAGAAGACGACAAATGCACCTGAATTTTTTCCCCTAATGCTTCTTTTTTTTTTATGTAGTGCTTGTCCTGCCTCTAATTGGGGAATTGAATTGAACATGAGAAAGGCGCTGGGGTTCCTCAGCTAGAGTAATATAACCTCCCTCCCATTGCATGATGACATCATCTCAGTCAGCTGGTTCTCTGTTGTAGGTCAGAAACAGTGTTAACTTGTAGTCTAACAAGAAAAGAAACTGCGCCCACCGTACAACAGCAATTCATCTACTTGGTGCTGAGACATACGGCTAGTGATACAGGTACGATAAAAAAAACGAGCAGAATACTAGTTTGCCTCCTTCACTTTCCTGGCAATACAAATTTTATTTTTGCTGACAGGATTAGATATCTACTAGACTGTACGTAGATCATTGTGCACGGATACCAGCTTTTTCTGATCTTTCCTGGAAAGGAACAACAGGGTTAAGGCCTTGTTTAGATACCCTCAAAATTCCAAGTTTTTTCACTCTCTCTTCATCACATTAATTTTTAGCCGTTTGTATGGAGCATTAAATGTAGGTAAAAAAAATAACTAATTACACAGTTTAGTTGGAAATCACGAGATGAATCTTTTAAGCTTAGTGGTCCACGATTGGACAATATTTACCAAATAAGATGAAAGTGCTACTATTCATCGGGTTAAATTTTTTTTCAATCTAAACAAGGCCTAAGACTTAAGAACTGGTTTCAGATTTGGCCGGTTGTTGAGAGCGCTGAAACCTGAAGAGCTGTGTACTGTTTTTCATGGATCCTCTTTTCCATGTTTTCAGTTGGGTGTTCCATTCCTGCTTTAATTAACAAATGTGATTTAAGCATGGGACACAACTATTTTATTTTTTCATTCCCCTGCTTGATCTCTTCTTTATAAGAAGCAAAGTCAACGAACCACCATGCATATAGTATTATTTAATATTTTTAAATGCTCCTGGGATCAATCAAGCACCTGGTATTGCCGGCCGGCATTCTGAGTCATCGAAGCAGATCGTCACTCCTTGAATGCCAAAGCTACCATCTTTTTAGTATACTCCAACTGAGCTTTTTTTAGCCATGATTTCACATGGTTTGCTTTGCTTGTCAGATCAGACTATATGGCCATGCAATTGCATTGCTCATGGAGTCAAGGACCAATGGTCCATGCTCCATGCATGCACCTGTGTGCGGTTCTTAAATTTCAAACGGGCTAGTGAGTCCCATCAGTGTTAATTGGCTACCTGACCTAGCAAACCCGGCCTATCATCAGTTACTTAACGCAATGATCGATCTGTCAATTAAGGGCGCGTTTGGCCGGGCTCCCGCCGGCTCTGGCTCCCACACTGTAGCGCAACTGTAGCACGTAGGAGCTGGAGCCGGAGGAGCCAAAAAAACAAGCTTCTCTGGCTCCGGTGTTGTCAGTGAGAAAGGAAAGGAGGAGAGACAAAAACAGCTCCGGTGAACAATATCACTACAGAAGATGAACATAGGAGGAGTCAGAGAAGCGGAGCCGTTGGGAGCCCGGCCAAACGCCCTCTAAGATGGGATCAAATTTATGAGACTATTTATGTCCAGGTTCTTCCACCTCGTCCGTGCAATGCAAACGCGACACATTTTGTGCGGCACGTGTGTGTGTGCTAACTAATAGGGTTTTGCAGTTGGAGCGGTAGAGGTATACCTTAAATTATTGATGAGTAATTATCTCGTGATGATAGCGATTTGCATGTATGCGGATGCAGCTGCATTGATGGAAGACGGAAGACATAAGCTAAGAGACAAAAGATAGAAATTGAAAAGGCTTTGCTTCGTTTCTAATTCATCATCTTTTGATTTGATATGCCTGACACATGTGTAGTAGTATAGTGCCTGATATTAGCCCTCATTTATTGGGAGGCTGGACATGTGCAGTATATATATAGTGCCTGATACTTACGGGTAACTTTATGTGTTGGTAATAATGTGACAAGATTGTCCTTTGTTGCAGTCCCTATTCCCTAAGGTCCAGTTTAGTTCCAAGAAATTTTACCAAATTTTTCAGATTTCTCGTCAAATCGAATCTTTGAACGCATGCATAAAGCATTAAATATAAATAAAAAATAAAACTAATTACACAGTTTAG